GCAGGATGGCACTTGACAGAGACTCTTGGAAATTCAGAGTTAGAGGCTCTGAACCTTCAGAGTGTTTTGTAACTGCACATCTCTTTGGGATGGTTTGGGTTTCTTTCTACCTTCCGTACAACTAATGTTGCTTTGCCCATAATTTTCAGAACTCCATGAAGGTGATGTTCAAATGCCTGTGGAAGAACTGTGGGAAGGTGCTGAGCACAGCTGCAGGGATTCAGAAACACATACGGACCATTCACCTTGGGTAAGAGAGCAGCCTGTTCAGAAGTTTAAAAGGGAGCAGTCACACTTGGCTGGGGAAGTGAACTGGATTGTCCTTGGCTTTTCTGTCTCTGATCCCTAGGTTTCTGAGGAAACTGCGGAGTACTATGTCAAGGTGAATGAGAACATGTTCCAACAGCGAGACACTTTCTTTCCTGAACTTTGTGAGCTTTTCTTGAAGGACAAATATAGCTTTAGGTCATGCTGCACTTCCCTAATAGCCACACAACTTGGTGGCATTTATTTCGTGTATGCTCCCTGCACACCACGTCCAGGCTGATGCTGTGTGAAAGACACCAGGTTTCAGTGCCCTGCTTAAATACTTGACAGCCTTGTTTCACGTCAGATCAAGTGCTTCTGCTTAGTTCTGAGTCAAACTAATGCCAAAAAAAGCCCCAAATCGTCAGAAACCTAAGAAAAAGAAGCTGAGCTGCAACTCTATGTGTGTATTAGTTGGACTAGAAGCAAAACCGAATGAATCTTATATGACACAAGCTTGTTTAAGAGCTTTAGTTTGCAAGCAGATTCTCCCATGCAATTCACTGAGTGACCTAGCTGTCTGATATGTAGTTGCAGTGTGGGGGCTTGTGGTCTTCACCTGTTAGGTGTGTGGAAATACATCCCCATTGTGTAAGTCTGTGTTACCCAGTGCTTAAAAATTCAAGTGACCGTGAGGAAGTAGTCTGGTGTGCACCTCAGGGGAGTCTTGCTGAAGTCACCACAATTGCTGTTGGGCTTAGGCTCTGAAAAGCAAGGCTATCAGAAACGGAGACAGTCTCTCTCAAAATGTGTTTGCATGTGTTACTTTGTCCTGTGCATTACAGGGACATCCTTTTGCTGACATGGGAGAGGGAGAAGTAAACAGCAGGAATTTGGAGTTTGTAACTTTGCCAGAGAAAGAAATTTGGTTGAGGGACTGGCTGCAGTTCGATAGATGGTACTTCTGGTAGAGCGAACCCATGCTTTCCCAAAGAGTTTTATAGAGTAAGCTGGTGAGAAGGCCACAAGTAGAAATGTATGGGCAAGCAGGCTGAAGAGCTGGCTAGGAGGTGGTTTTGAGGTGCATGCAGGAAGGAGAATGGATGAGAAAGTTACCGTCAACTACGGCCATTTGGTTTAATTAAGTAACCTGTGATTAGATTATATATTGTTTACCTTAACATTAGTGAAGTGTATCTTGCCTGTGTTTGTTTCTCTACCTGTTCTGTGTCTGCTCTGTCATTTCTGAAGTCAAAGCATGTTGGTGATTCTTGTTAACTTCAGTAGTTGGAAGCGAGAAGCTGATATTTAAGCTGAAGCATAGAAATTAAACATCTGCTCCAAGGTCAAAGAATTAGTCGAGAATAATACATAACGAAAAAGAATCTGATCCCTGCTTCTTTTCCCTTTAGGCTAGATGATCTTCCTTTCCTCTCCCCATTCCCTGCAGCCAAAATGCTGATAAAGTAGGCAGGATTGAAAGTGACAATATTAATTTATGGACAGTGTGAATATATTTGATTGTGCATCCAGATACATTGGAGTTCTTGCTTTCATTTAATCAGTCCTTCATTCTTTGTCTTGATACAGACGTGTAGGAGAGTCTGACTACAGTGATGGAGAGGAGGATTTTTACTATACAGAAATCAGGCTCAACACGGACTCAGTAGCTGATGGCTTAAGCAGTCTTTCCCCAGTCTCTCCATCCTTAGCATCGCCTCCTTCCTTTCCCACCCAAGATGCAATCCGTCCTGAAACTTCCTGTGCCAAAACCGAGACTAAATTGATGACACCTCTGAGCCGCTCAGCTCCTACCAACCTCTACCTCGTACACACGGACCATGCTTACCAGGTACTGCTGCTGAGAGTGAACTCCATTGATTACACTGATGTCGTTATGTGAAAAGAAATGTCAGATCACAATGTCTGGGTTTTAAAAAGCCAAGTCTGGTTTTAATGGGCTGAAAAGTTTTCAGGGCAGCCCACAGGGTTCGTTAAGTTTAGGTGACCCCTTCTGAGCTAGTTTGGTTGGTTGTGCTCCCACCATAGCTGGTGGATTTTGAGATGCCGTTATCCAGCCACCAATAGGTGCATGCTTCAGGTTGAGAAGAGTTGCTCTGAGTACTCCACTGCCTGCATCACTTAATTCTCCATTGACCATAGGGAGGGCCCCAGGTGATGTGCTCACATGTGGTCTCCTGCATTGCAAAAATTCTCATTCAGTCAACCAAATCCCTTCCAGAGCCTTCATTTCAGCTCTGCTTGTACTGGATGTGTCTGTAGGCCAGTACCCAAGGGATGCCCTAAACAATTAATTTCCTTTACTTGTACAGTGGGAAGTGTCGATTTGCTTATGTGAAGCAGAGCAGGAAGAGTGGAAAGGCATACATGATATCCTCCTACTCGTAGAGGTAATGCTTTGCAAATGGCAGAAATCCAATCAGATCCAAAAAACGCTGTTCCAAAAGCTCCCAATTAAGTTCAGACACAAAGCATTAATTTTAAAAGTGCACTGAAATTTGACATGTTTTGGTCTGGTTACCATATGAGAAAAGACGAATAGAGACTTTGAACTAGTGCAGTCCGTGACCTGTGTATGCACCAGAGAACTGAACCCTGTTAGATTTATTAGATGCAATAACTTTCATATACGGCATCATGCAGATTAAACTTTTCGGTTGTGAGTCTGAGGCAGACTCACTGAAGGGGCAGAGGGAACCACAGGGAGTTCACAGGCTTGGTTTAGACTCTCATGCATGGTGGAAAGTCTGGGTGGAAGCCTGGCATCTCGGGCAGCATACCGATGTGGGGACTGATCAAGCCAGCTAGGAGAAAGACTTTCTTCTCAGTCTAGCTCGAGCTCTGCCTCTCAGAGAGCGAGGCACCAAGGCTGGGCTGCTGAGAAGAGCCTCATTTCATTTGGGATTTGCAGTTGTGACAGTCTTCTCTGCAATTTGGAGATTTGCTTGATTCTTTTTTAGAAGCAGTCTTTGAGTAAAGCACTTGCGGAAGGAAATCCTAGTTCAGATGTTTAAGCTGCTCAAATTGGATTCGAATTGATGCGTTCCCTGACATGAGACTGCAAGTGTCTGTCTCCTTTTCAAGTTGCTCGGATTTCGGTGCTTCATTTCATCAGCGAGGAATGAGACAGTCTGTGCTGTTCAGTGCTTTCCAGTTGGAAGCAGGACGCGGGGTCCCTGCTCGAGCGTTGAGGTTGTCCTTGCAAAGGACATGACTTCTGCAGAGCAGGTCAGTGGCATCCTGTGCTAGGGCCCCTCTAGCCCCGCCAGAAGAGTGCTCGCCAGGAGGCAAGACGGAGGTTCAGCTCTCACTAGCAAGAGGAGAGATTGAGCCCAGATTTCACTCGTAGCATTTAATCATTCTTGTGACTGATCTGTTGTCTAAAAGAGAAGGTGATGACAGCATCTTTAATACCATCACATTTCCTGCTGTTTGCTTGCTGGAGTGAGCCATGCGCAGAATTTCAAAACTTTTTTGTACTTCTGATACTATCTGTATCAAAACTGAAGCAAAGGGTTGAGTGGGAATGCAGTGATGAAGACAATCTCTCATATGAGTGAAAACATGAAAGTAGAAATTACTTCACTGGGAATGAAGAGGCAAAATTTGTAGCTCAAGGAACTCGAGTAAGGGAGGCTGAGTAATGTTCATCTCAGGATTCCTGCTAAAAAAGGCAAAAAATGTGGAACCCAAAGCTGGGTCATAAGATTCCTAAACAGATATGTTAATTGCCATTTCCCATATGACTAGACAATTGCAAATGTAATACTTGTAGTAAGAAAGGTGTAAAGGGAAAGTGAGCAGGGAAGTCCTCACTCTCGTCTCTGACCCAGTCCTGTGGATGAGGACAGGTTTAGAAGGATGTGTCAAGCACAGCAAATGAGGTGCAATGGAGGAACCCCAAAGGAGGATTATACTGGAACAGTCTTAGCATCTTCCTTAGGTAAGGTAACTTTGTAAATAACAGCACAGAAGAACAAATTTCTTTGGATTGGAGGAGAGTATTTGATACTAAAACATATAGGCCTTATTCGTTAGGCTAGAGATCAAACAGTGTAGGAGAGAGATGGGGAGCCAGGGAGAACAACAGCGAGTTACTTCAAAAGGGCTACTAAATGTTAGTACTGGAGTTGAATGAAAAGCTGGTTTTGGACTTGGTCTCATTTTCATTAAATCATTTTGGTATTACACGAATACCATAATAAACTTCGCTGAGAACCAACTTGGGAGACTTCAGCAATACAGGCATTTGTATATTATGTTTACATGCGTGGGTGATCTTAAGAATAATAGAGTTTGGATGCAATTTCGTGGCAGAACATGCAAAGACCTGCACCTTAGGAACTAATGAGAATATAAACTGCTATAAACTGGGGTAGTTAGAAAATTAAGTGAGGAGGAAACTTGTGTTCATTAATCAAGCACAGAATGGCTGTGAGCCAACAACAATAGAGCTGCGAAGGGGAAAAAAAAGTTGTCAGCTTTCTTGGCTAAAAAGTATCTAGGAAAGACGCAGATTTTTAATGCCCTTCTACAAGACCCCCCTGGATAACTTCAGCTGGGATCCTGAGTAGAGTTCTGCTTCAACTAAGTTTAAGGATGGTGGGTTTCAGTTAGAAGAGGTAGAAAGAAGGTGACTGGAGTGAAGAGGGACGGCAGAGAAGACTGACGGCCTCTCCAGCCCAAGGACCAACTGCCTGGGCAAAGCAGGGCTGAGGACAAGAGGGGATTCCTGCCTGGGAAGAAAGTGAGAGGACAAACACGAGAGAGGAGGAGGATCAGCATGGCGTGTTTCAAGATACAGGGGCAATGTTTGCATGAATGAATTATCTGTGAATGTATTTTGACTGGAAATCGGATGGAGATCTCTTCAGCAGAGTAAGGCTGGGGTGTAAAAACTCTCCAGTTCGTGGCAATGTAATGATTGCTTACCTTGTGGAAGGGATTGTCGAAACTGTTTGCCTGAAAAAGGTGACTGTGCTCGATGAACAAAGATGTGCACCTGGGAAACAAATGATCAAGTAGATTGGCTGTCTAAAGCTGATCATGTCTGAGGTAGATATTTAGGCACATTGGAAGAAAGAACTGAGCACCGTGGTATTTTAAGCAACCACAAATTACAGCAATTTTAAACTTCTTTTCATTCAGTATGAAAATGCTGCCTGTACCTGTTAAATTTAGCTACAGAGGAACTACAGGTAGACTCTTTCAGCATCTCGGATTTCCTTTGTGGGTCTTATTTGCACACCCAAGGAAGTCGCCGTGCTGACCCCAGCTTCGAGCTGACACCCCAGTGGGATGCAGAGCAGAGGCAATGCCGCCTTGCTGCCCGCCTGGCTACCTCCAATTTTTTCTGGCAGGAGGGCTGTGGTCCTTCTCTCCTTCCTATTTGAACAGGCTTGTGATGAAGCACTACTGGTACCATCTGGAGTTGCCAAATTTTTCTCAATGCCTTTCAGCAAGGTTTTTTTTATGTATTACGGAGCTCAGCGGACATTTGCTCCGCGTGTCTGTGCAGATTCTCTTGGAGCTGTCAGCAGGCTCGGCAGCCCTCAGAGCATCGCTGCCATAGACAGAGGTATCTGGTGGTCTCAGTTTCTTTTGCTTGGAGAGACTCCAGAGGATTGCTTCAGCACTTGTTTACTCTGAAGATTATCTTTAATGGGGACTATCAGGTTGTAGTTTGTCACCACTCCTCTCTGCCTGGCAGCTCGGGGAAGCGTTCTTTTCCCTGGAGTGGTAAGACAACTTCAGCAGCCTCAAACACAAACACTGCTTAAGTGTATTGCATTGATGTCAGACACAGACAGCTGAAAGGCAGAAGTAAAAGCTCATTTTTAATAGCAAGTTCTTTATAAAATCGAGGAGCTTTTTTTTTGTGTGGTGAAAGCTTGAAATTCAAGAGTCAGAGGGAGCCTGTGGCTGCTTGTGCTCCTGCTAGGTAGGGTAACTGCAAAGGTGTGAAATTCCTGATTCTGTAAATTAAATGTAAGTTTTGTAAATTAAATGGCATTCAGAAAGGGGCATGGAAGAATTCCTAAGGGCTCATAGCCCAGTACTGAAACCAGAGACTGAAAGATGCTCAGCAGTCTGAGCTGAGGTTCTCAGGTATTGCACCCTAGGGTAGCACTGGGTATTACAGCCTGGGTGGGAAGAACGTAAGAGGTCAAGGGGCCTTTCACATATTTACTTTAGCTTAGTCTTTTAAGAGTTGATTTTTGAATGTCAAGGATAATTTTCAGCTCCTTGTTTTCAATAAGAAAGGCTGTTTTAATTGGGATGATACTTAACAACATTTATCTGGTGAACAAGAAATGGCCGACCCTTACTGTTGATCACTAACCCTATTGTCAAAGAAACCAGCTGCCATCAGTTTAAATATTTATTGGTTTATCACAGTGGAACAGGTGATGATTTGTAATATTTTTTTGCTGCTAGCTAGCATTATTTTAAAAGTTCCTTATATATCATGTTTGACGTTAGGTGTTTAATCAGATCTAGCTTTTACAGAGTCGTAGAATCACGAAATTGTGTGGCATGGAAAAGACCCTCAAGATCATGAAGTCCAACCAGGGTTTGCCTGGATTCTTGCGAGAGCTATCGTCTTTCTTTAAACAAGGTTTTAAGAACAGTGAAATATAAATATATATAAATAACTGGCTTATTCATGATTATCCCTCTCGTAAGGGTAGAATACTTGTCACCATGCAGTTTTTTTCCACCTCGGAAGGTCTCTTGTGGATTTACAGTTTCAAGGAGTGAAAGATCCCTTGAAATGCTTTGGAAGAAGAATGGTTCTGCTTACAAGAATACTGTTTTTCTTTTCACACAGGCCACTCCTCCAGTGAACATTCCAGGGTCAGCAAAATTCACTCCCAATGGCAGTAGCTTTAGCATCTCTTGGCAGTCGCCTCCAGTTACCTTCACTGGCATTCCAGTAAGTGAACAAAATAAAAAAATTGATTTTGGAACATTTTGTTTTGTTTCATGTTGTCTCATGGTAGAAATAAATTTGATGTAACAGATAGGAAAAGAAACAAACTAAAGATATACCTCTGTTTCCCAGCATGTCTGATTTTAACAGTTTTGCTAATCTCTGTAATTCAGTACGACTACTTGTTTTTGCATCAGTGTCTGCAAACGTGGAACTGGATCTATAGTATGTGTTTTTTAAACTATATACTTACAGAAGACCATTCTGGTAGGTGCAGAGCCTGGCACTGCATGCTTCTTTTTGTGCCACTAAGAGATTTCTTACAAAACTAGATGGAAAATTGTCGAGGTGGTGGGTTATGTGAACAGGCTAACTGGTTTCAAGCAGCAGGGCTGTAATCTAAATGAACTCTGGAGATGAAGCATATTTGAAAGGTGACTGAAAAAATTAATGAGAAGAAATGCGAAGTCTCATTTTAGGAGGCCACATATATGTAGCCCTTATTGATAGCAGAAAATTGTTGTTTCATGCAAAAAATATAGTCAATACATGTTGTAGTTTGACAGCTTTTTGATGAAGATGTATAAGATGTACAGTCAACTCTGACTTTTTCTTCGAAAAAGCTGATGTACAAGGCCTAATTTCCTGAGAGGGACTGCAGAAATGCCATGTTTGCTTAAACAGACTTCCAGTAGTCCTAAACCTAGGGCAGTATAGATGTGGATACTGTAGGGGGAGTTAAAAACCTTTATGAAGAATTCAAAAGGATTAGGCTTCTAGTGCCTAGCATGGTGAATACTAAAAAGTAAATATAAGTCACTACTGAGGAGTAGTGAAAAATCTTCAGTATAATAAATAGAAATAGATATTAATGTAATGTATCCTAATTTTTTGAAAGCATTTTTCAGTTAAAAATTGATATTCTCTAATCATAAACCTTTTTGATATCATAACATCTCGTTTAATGTTACCCTTTATGAATTTGTGAATTTTTAAAGTGTGTTTGGTTATATATGGTTCTCTTCCAAAGAACCATATAGCTTTTTCTCTCTCCTGACAGTGAATATTAGGCATGGCGATAAGGCATACTATTCCCCACCCTTTTCTTCACCAAGTGAATCTCCAAAGCTTCTTACTGTCAACCTTTGGCAAATCTTGGAGATTTTCTGCAGAGGCTGTGGCATCCTGCAGGGCTGATAAAAAATGAAAGTGGCTGAATCAATTACACTGCACTCTGCCAATGAATATTTATTAAATTTCATCAAGGAACAACTAACAGTGAAAGACATCATGCTGGCAGCAATTTTAACAAGAGTGCCTTGACAGAGCATGCTATCCATAAAGTTCCTCGAGAATTTGATTTCCCAACAATGGGATTGATACTGAGTAATTATGAAACTGGCTCCTTTTGTGGAGTAGCAGAAATTGGTGCCAGGAGTGTTGGGAATCTAAAAATGCAATTAGCCACATTGTAAGTCAGACACTTAAGAGGACAAGATCAGACATGTATGCATTGCATTTACTTGTTTGAGCAAAAACGTTGATCTGTGGCTGTAGAGTTGAGAGTTCTCTATAAAGAATTTAAGAAATGCCAAATCATTTTCTGAGAATTGTGTGGAGACGCCGATGATTTATGTACAATTTATAAATAATCCCAATACAAAACCCTGGGGAAGCAGCGATGATGGCAGAATTATAAACCGCTCACCATGTGAACTGCCTTTGTATCCCTGTCTAGCAACATTTATGAGGCTGCTTAGTGAAAAAGGAAAAAAAAAAAGAAAAGAAAGCCCTTTCTAGGTTTGCACACATTTGACTCTTCTGTCATCGGTGAGGTCATTTATTTACAAAGGCTCACATTATATGCAGTGAGGGTGCAAATGCAAAGCGATGTTAAATAACTGTACATTAAAGGTTCATTTCTCCTGTTTCAAAGTAAATTAGATATTGCCTTATAAAAACAGCACTCTGACAGTTGCCACCCTTAAACTGAGTATAACTACCTTAGAAAAGTTTCTCCTTCTCTTATGAGGTTTCACAGAATCACAGAATGTTA